TTTAAATAGTGAACTCTGTATTAATTTGACAATATTTCTGAAGGCAAATTTGATAACTATCAGTTATAAGTTAAATGCCTCAAATGGTTCCTAATCCTGTAAGATCTATGCTCTCCCTCAACGTGAGTAAAGGTCACATGCTATAAAAGAAAGCTTTCACAGCAATCCAATCTAACGTATGTAGGGACTAAAAGTGGGTGAGGAGAAGGCTGAGATGCAGCTCAGCAGCAGAGTACCTGCCTGGCAAATGCGAAGTCCTGAGTTCAACTCCAGTACCAAAAAAAAAAAAAAAAAAAAAAAAGGCAAGCAACTACAAGTCTAGTCTATGTATGTATCTTTGTGTGTTATAAACCCTTTATCAGCTTGCTAAGTGAAACTTTAGAGCCAGTTCTTTATAAACAAGAAATTTTCTTTTTTAATTTATGCATCTGGCACAGGGTCTCGCTATGCAGCTCTCACTCTTAGTGATCCTCCTGTTTTAGCTGCTCTAGCGCTGGGATTACAGGCATGCACTCGAAATTTTCTACATGTACATAGGTACCAAATTATTCAGCATTTAAGTTAAACCAACTAAGATATACACTTCATAGAAATCTCCTTGGCACACTTCTTCTAGTCTCTGTTTTACAATTATGTATATGGCTCTCTCCCTAGACTATGTCATGAAGAAACTTATAACTTGGGGCCGGCAAGATAGCTCAACCAACTAAGTGCCTGCTTAGGTAAGCACATGGACTGGGTTCAATCCCTGGCCCCAGGCACGCTGAGCTGGTGACTGAGTCCAGGCGTGGTAGCATGTGCCTGTAATCCCAGTGCATAGTGAGACCCTGCACCAAATACATAAATTAAAAAAGAAAAAGAAACTTGTAACTCACAATTGGCGATGGAAAGACATTAGGTGCTCATTAAACATTTGTCGAATTAACAAAAGCATCATAAAGTACAGAATATCTGCATCTTTTTAAATTACTGAAAATGTTCCCACTTACAAAATAAACATATTTTAAATTTTAACCATGCAGTCTTGGTCCAGAAGCAAAATCTATCCTGACAGCACAAAAATAGAATTAAGGTGTTATTTACCTTAGTAAAGTCAGTTCCTGTGCATTCAATAAATACATTTTTTGTGTTTACTGTAATTTTGGAATGATTCCCTGAAATGAATGGAGAACAACAGCAATAAAACAACCAGTTTCAGAAACAAATTCTACAAATTTCAACAAAGCAGAATTAACACTTTATGGGCTTTTTTGTTTTGCTCTGGGAATCGAACTCAGGACAACTCGCTTGCCAAGCAGGCAATGTGCCTCTGAGCTACAGTTCCATCCCTGGCCCACAAACCAGGTTTTAAATTTAGGGCATTGGAACAGGGTCTCATTGTGCAGTTCAGACTCACAGTGATCCTCTGTCTCAGCCTTCCCAGCGCTGGGATTACAGGGGTGTACCACACCTGGTTTTGGTGACTGGCTGGGTGCAGGGCCCGCACAGCGTGCAGTACCAGGGATTGAACCCAGGTCCTTTTGCTTACCAAGCAGGCGCTTAGATGCCGAGCTATTTCCCTGCCTGCCCCCCTAAAATTTAGAACATATCATTAACACCTGAGAGGGGCTCTACAACTGTTATTTTGTATTTTATATTTACTTTACAGTAGTAGGGAACATATCATTAACACCTGAGAGGGGCTCCACAACTGTTATTTTGTATTTTATATTTACTTTACAGTAGTAGGGATCAAACCTAGGGTTTCTGTGCTGAGCTGCATCCCAGCCCCTCTACTCTTTCTGAGTCAGGGTCTCAGTACATTGATCAGTTGACCAGGCTGGGCTAGAATATGCAATTCTACCACAGCCTCTCAAAGTGCTGGGATTTCAAGTGTGAACCATTATGCTCGGCCACAACTTTTACTTTAAACTTCTATTTTAAGTTGGAGAATATAAACTAATAGCAAGTCTTTACTGAAAGCTTTGCCTTAATTTTCATCACCCTCTTAAAATAATTGCAGTCACAGCAACTAAGATTCAGAAAGATTAAGTGAGCACGAGCAGAAGCTATCACGCTGCTAGGTCAGGGTCTGTGCCCAGACCTGGTTAACTTGAGGGCCCTGTTCTGAGCCGCTGCAACTGCTTACAGCCCAAGATTTTGAGGGGAGGATTTTCCTTTCCACATTTAATCAGCTGAACCTCTTTCTCGCCTCCAAAAGTACAAATATCTATACCTTAAGTATCATTAAAGATGCAAACATTCTCCAATTGCCTCACAAAAGTCTCCAGAAAAAAATGCAGTTTTAGTGTAACTCTAAACCTACAGACAAGACAGAGTCTGACTTTGAATTTAAGTAAGTAAATGACTGCTAACACTAAAACATCAACATTTCTTTGAAGAATATTATAGAACCCCAAGTCTGATAGCAGGAAGTAGTCACATAAGTCCTTAATGCTGACAAATAAGGAATGGCAAAAAGCCTGGATGCTCATGAAATAACTCACCATTGATGATTGGAGGCATTGAAAGGACGACACCATTGCTATCACAGATAACTGGATACAGGGGTTTATTTTCAATGATGTGCAAATAATGTTTAAGGTGGTTGTCAGACTGGAAACAATTAAGTCGAAAAGTTAGCTTCTCATTTTAAAGCTATAACAAGTTTAGGTGCTAATCTGATATTAAAAGGGAGGGAAGTGGGGTTGTAATATGAAAACATCCCAAGTTTCAGAACACTCTAAACTTATTTTCCTTTTTTTCTTTTGTGCAGGGTCTCACTACGCAGTTCAAACTCATAGTGATCCTCCTGTTTTCAGCCTCCCCAGCACTGGGATCACAGGCATGCGCCACCATGCCCGGACTTGGCCGTGTCTCAGCATGCCCAGGGGCAGGGCTGGTGTAGCATGTGGTGTAAACTTATTTTCCAATATAAGTTAAATTCTTAGCATCTTTTCTCACCTACTGCAGACACAGGAGAACATAAGAGTCATTTTTCAAGAGTGAAGACAGTTTTGTACTGGTATTCCTATGTCAAAGGAGAGGCAAACCATCTCAGACTACTTAGATGAACAGAACTTCGTGCAAAGCAGGCAAAGGATAACAGCTCCTTTTTCAAAATTATGCTCAGTATTTCTATCCATGAAGTGATGGCTAAGTCAGACGGGCTCTATGCTATTAATAGGAAATAACAGCATCCACATGCATGTGCGTGCGCGCGCGCACACACACACACACACACACACACACACGAGCATGGACACACCCTAAATCTTTCCTTATATTACACAAATATGAAGATTCCCATGTGGCCATAATCTGCTCAGCAATTCTCAACTCTAGCTGTACATTAAAATCAACCCGGAGTTTAACAAAATAAACAAAACTGAGATCAAGGCTTCGCTCTAAGTCAGATGAATCTGGTTAGAGCCCAGAAGCTGCAATTTTTAATAAATATTCATTCTAAAACTTGACCTTGAAAACATTTGATGATTTAGGAAAGCTACTGAATGACAAAACTGAGGATTTACCTTGTATATGTTCATCAGTTCACAGGCGGTATACTCCTTGGTCTTGTTCAGAGGTTTGAATTTGATGTCAGAAGGACGCTTTGCAGTGTAAGTAAATGGGCCTGACACAGAATCCAAATCATGGGCACCAATAGCGACCAATGCCCTTTTCCTTAATGTTGGAGAGGAGGGGGCAGGAGGGAAAAGAAAGGAGAAGAGATTTGAATATCCCATTGCAGAAGCCCTAAAGATTACATAATTATCAATTCTTATTTTAAATGCTTCCCTAAAACAGTCCACTGCTATTACCTGATATCACTTGTCACCATTAAACTATTGAGAAGCGATACCGCTACTTGAGACATGTCAAAAGCTGAAGCACATCCTCCACACTGCACCTTGCCAAGCTCCACTGCAGAGCGACTTCAAAGGCAGCACACCAGCACACCCTTCCCCTCCTTGTAGCCCATCCTCTCTCTCGTCCTCTAGTAAGTATATTTTTGACCAAATCAGAATAAGCCACCAAACTCTGACGGGAGGCTTTCCTGTTTTCCTAAATTTTCTGACATAGCTATTTCCTTTGATAATGACAAAATTTAATTTTAATAGTTGTGAATTATATTTAAAGTTTAATGTGTAACAGTTCAAAAGCTACCCATTCCATTCTGTGATTTCAACTGGGCGTGGTGGCACATACCTGTGATTACAGCACTTGGGCGGCTGAGCCAGGACCACTGTGATTACAGAGGCCAGCCTGGGCTACACAGCAATACCGTCTCAAGCCCCCACACCCAAAAGAGTATTTAATGTAACTTTAGGAATTTATAACAGATAAGAGGAGGGCCAGCCAGATAGCTCAGCGGACAAAAGCGCCTGCTTAGGCAGAGCACAACGGCCCAGGTTCGATCCCCGGAGTGCCATGCCAGCCCTGCCCCAGGCATGCTGAGAAGGTGATTGAGACTCGGCATGGTGGCATGCACCTGTAATCCTACTGCTTAAGAGTCTGAAAATAGGAGGATCACTACAAGTCCAATCTGTGTAATAAGACCCTGTACTAAATACATAAAAAAGTTTTAGGTATCAATTTATAATTACATTCATTTGAAAAATCAGATCAAGCCAAAAATTCTTTCCATTTTTAAAATGCTACTTTATATTTCAAATTACTGTGGTTTACATGTAGGAGGATACTCATTAATAATTTGAGGACTAAAAATAAAGACAAAAATTATATAAAAAATAATAATAATAATTTGAGGAGACTTCTCCCTCACTTCCAGAGACTGACAAAGGAGCGCAATAGCTAGAGCCAGAATATGTCCACTGGGCTTATGAGATCACTGGGCACTTCAGCAGCACGAGACCTACCCCTTGGCCACACACTGGAGCTTTGGAAGGCCTTGCCGCATGGTTCCAGTGGCTGCTACTGAATGTTGAAATGGAAAGTACCTTGGCACCCATGCGGAGTTATATATGGCAGTGAAGTTGCTTGACTTTTGCTTTATTTGCAGCAGTTATTATTACCTTCCTTTCCCAGATATATGCCACTTTTTAAAGGCATTACAGAAAAGATAACAGAGTGGAGGTCAGTGAACATTCTCTTTTTTATCCCTCTACAAATACATGGGAATCCATCAGTTGTAGCCTTTTGTTCACTTTCGATTTTTCTTTCCAATAAGACTAGTTTATCAATGAGCTCTCTAACCGTAATGCATAAAACTCTTTGTAGATGAGAAAGGTTTTTTTTTTTTTTTTTTTTTTATAAAAACAGGTTTCTTTGCTTGGATCCTGCTAAGTATGCGAAAGTGGACATTTTAATTGGTCTTACAAATAAGCAGCTGAGGCTTCACAGAGGCTACCTTCCCTGAGGTTCTACAATGAGATCGACACAGCTGAAAGCTGAGCTTCGCAATAAGGAAGACAAGACACTCACTGACTGCATGCATCGGTGTCAGAACACATCCAGCTCGAATATTTAATAAGACGCTGTGGGTTTTCTTGGTTATTATACATGGCTGAGATCACCAGTATAACACCCAATCATACCAGCAGTTTATAGGAAGAGGTTTATATAGGATTCTGCTGTATGCCTCTGGTCTTATTTTGTTTTAAACCTCTACTGGCTACCCTAGAAAAAGAAAGCATATAAGGGAAACTAATAGTCGTGTACCAAGCGTTATGCTTGCTTTATCACCTGTGTGATCTATGAGACTGACATTACTGTCTCCATTTTACCACTGGGAATACTGAGCTCCATGAGGTCACGATAGGCCTGAGGGCACGTACAGTCAGGGTAAGCGTTACAGCCTCACTCGGACTCCAGGTTCTATACTGTGGCATGATGCCCAGGGAGACCTTAAAGACTGCAGTGTCAGAGGGAGCCAGGCTATAAATTCCAAGATGGTACAAACCATGCTTGTTTTGTTCTACAATTAGATGGTATATAACAGTAGAGGCTTATTAATGGTTTGCTGATGCATAAGGAGCAAACCTGTGAATCGCCTCCAATTTCCTAAGTGAAATCTTTCCTAAAAGCCAAAATGTACACAGTGCTATGTTCCTCAACCACAAAGGGCTGTGACAACCTCACAATGAGGGCCCTGGACTAAGGGTGACATGCCTGAGAGTTCACTGTGCTGGTCAGGTCAGGAACACAGGACAGGAGTTTTTGTCCAGCCCTGTTCCTTAGTAACAACTACTAACATTGCATCAAGCTTTTATGGTTAAGAAATTCTTCAATCTTCAATTTCAATCCCTGCATTTCATTTGATACTCTGAGAAGTAGTATCTATTCTTACTTTTTAAATGAGGAAACAGTAGTTCTGAGATTGTAAGTAGCTCTCTGATGTTCTTCAGCTGGTTTTTGCCGAGGCCAGGATTCACACCTAGAGGTCAGTGTTTCTTTTCCTTGCACTTTACTGCTTGTGTCTATTTCTCTGCACTTTAAACTATCACCAGCCTAATTTTCCTATAATTTCATGTTTTCTTAATAATTTAAAAATCATATACTTTTTAATAGAAATGATATAATCATTATTCAGAAAACTTATGAAAGATAATCACCTATAGTCCTATGACCTAGTAAATCAGTATACTGTGATAAAACTAATAATATGAACAAAGTTAAAAAAAATCTCTAGGACTAGCTAATTCCTCTTGATGCAGCATTCAAAATATATAGCCTCTCCATCATAAACCCACTGTTTATAAACAGTAACAAACAAGTTTGTGTGTGTGTGTGTGTGTGTGTGTGTGGTAACACACACCTGTTATCCTGTGTCACTTCTGACCCTGGCATTCTGGGAAGCTGAGGCATTAGGACAGAAGGTTCAAGCTCAGCCTAGACAACATATTCAGACCCTGTTCAGAATAAAAAACAAGAAAGGGCTGAGGCTGTAGCTCAGCATCAAGGCCTGAGACTCAATCCCCAGTACCAGGAAGAAACAACAGTAACAAATATGTCTGGTAAAGCAAAGTTAAACCCTCACACAATGTATGATTAGTTTAGAAATGCTTTGAAAAGTTCTGCAGAAGAGGACAAAAAGAAGACAGATTGAGGGAAGGTATAAGGAATAAGAAGGAGAAGGGGAAAGGGGGTACAAGGAGAGGGCAGGCAGGGAGTAAGCAGGACAAAGCCACAAACCTGCAGATGTTCTGGTGTAATTTCTCCTGAAGCTCAATGAAGCTGTCATATCGATCCTTAGTAAACTTTATATTCCGGAGAACTGCTGCTACTGCAAAAGGCCGTACTTTAGCTGTCTGAAAATTATAATACCATTAGAGACAGTAAATATTAAGCCTTTTTCTTTGTAATGGTATCTTATAATAGAAAGGTAGCTATATTACTGGAAGTGTCACAAATTTTGATTCAAACAAATATACATAAAAATATATAATGATTTAATCAACAAGATAGTAAGCTTTGTGAAAATTTATTAATCGAGAAAACATTAAAGATTAATCTTTAAATAATTTGCTCATAGACATATTTTTACTAAAATAATGCCCCCATTATCTTGAAAACTTTCACAGATATATTACAATTTAAACAATTTTATCTCCAACGTGTTTCCCTTATTTCACCTTGCAGTGCTGGTCATTGAAGCCAGGGCCTTATGCTTGTTAAATAAACCCTCTACCACTGACGTAACATCCCCATCCCTGAAGTGTATATTTAATAAGCATCTGGATACTTTCCCAAATTACTTATGGAGAACAGGTATTTTGTTTTCATTTTGGTAGTAAATTCACAATTTTTTACAGACTAAAAACACATCTAGTTTAGTGAATGATCACAGAAAAGTACAACGGCAAAGAAATCTTTATTTCTTTGTTTTCTCCTTCTTTACAGGTGCATACATGCAAGAACACTTTGAAAGGGAAAAAGGAAAAATGTATCTTTATTACCTCTTCTGTGACAATCAACTTATGAATTTCTCCTCTGGGCGTTACCCGTGTGTATACTGGAGCTTTTATCCTAAAGTAATTGGAATCAAGTTACTTATAACTAATGAAAACATTTGATCAATTAATGATATTCTATGCTTGTAAATAATACATAAACATCAAAAGATGTGTGGAATGTGTTGCATTACAGAATGTCAACTTGTGATCAATTATGTTAAAACAATAACAAACTTTCTGACGTTTAATGCTGTGCAAAAACATGATACAAAATGCCTCATGGTAAAGCTTCCTATCAATCAAGGCCCAGCAAAGGCTACCAAATCATGAACAGAGCATTGTTCAAGTGGGTGAATAAGATAATCTTTAAGTTTTACTACAACCAGAAGATACTGAGCGTCTAAGAAAAACCGTACTCACTACAAATATCGATTTTGAGTCCGGGCGAGTTGGTGCACACCTGTAATTCCAGTATTAGGGAGGCAGAAAACGGGAGGATCACTAGGAGTCTGAGCCGTGTAGTGAGACTCTGCACACACACAAAAATCCCTAAAAAATGTCGGTTTCCTGGACCTGGACCCACTGAAGCATAAGTCAGAACCAAGGCAGTAACTGGTGCATGCTGAAAATTGGTCCATGCAATTCTTATGACCAGGGGTTAGAACTACTCCCTCCAGGCAGTGCTTCTTGAGCACCAGCGCATGCACAATCTGCCAAGGAGTCTGCAAGCTTCAGACTTGATCCCATGAGTCTGAAATGAAGCCTGAGGCTGCACATCTCTTTTCCCTTCTTTTTCCCCAGTACCAAGGACCAAATTCCAGGGCGCTCTGCCCCTAATCTATATCACCAACCCTTTTGCATTTTGAGACAGGTCTCACTAAATTGTCCAGGCCAGTCTTTTAAACTTGTGCTCCTGTGCTTTAGTGTCTCTCTGCACTGGGTCTGCAGGCACTGGCCACAGCCAGCAAGAGCCTGCATTTCTAATAAGCTCTCCCAGGATGCAGGTGCTGCAGGATCACAGACTATATTTTTAAGCTGTAAATGTTTTAAGTTATTTTCTCAATTTGGCAGCCAGGCATGGTGGTGCCTGTAATCCCTGCACTTGGGAGGCAAAGGAGGATCACCTTGGGTTTGAGGCCAGCCTAGGTCACACAGTAAGTTGAAGGCCTGCTGAACTACATAGACAGACCATGTTTCAAACAAATATCACATAAAGGGCCTATTTAAAAAACAGGGCCGGCCAAATAGCTCAGTGGATTAAAGCACCTGCAAGCAGAGGCAGGGGCCGGGGCTTCGATCCCTGGGCCTCCCATGCTGGCCTGGCCCCGGCCCCACCCCTCGGGCACACCGAGACAGAGATGGAGACTGGGCATGGTTGCACACACTTATAAGCCCAGCTCTTGGGAGGCTGTAAACAGGCAGATCACTACGAGTCTGATCTAGTAGTGAGACCCTGAACACCCTGTAGACCCTTCCCTAAAATACAAAAATAAATAAATAAATAAACAAACAGATTCTGATCAGGCAGGTTTCGGAAATACACTCTAATTTTAAAGTATCACTGGCCCTAAAATATTATCCAATGCATGAACAGAACCAACTAGGTCAATTCCAATATTGTAACCTCTTTAACCAAATGGCCAATTGCATTATTCGTCTGAAGCTTTCATTTAAGTTCAGAACCTAAGAGACAGATCAACGGACAGAGGCTCTTATTCTTTTGCAAATGACCAGAAAATTTAAAAATAATCAAAAAACAAAGTAACTATTATTAATAGCTATTTTTTCAATTTTCTGACTTTGTAAGTTCATTGGATTCTATATTAATAAACAGTTCAAAGAGACCTTTAAAACTTTTTCCTCACTGATGAAGAGATTAAAACTACAGAAGACCACTAACACGTCCAAGACTGTACAACCATTATAGAATACTAAAGTTTTCCAGACAGGACACTCCATATAATACTACTTCCTCGTAGGGGAAAAAGATGTATCTATGTAAGTAAGCAGGAGGGTTTGGACAACTGTACTGTGGATTTCTGCTGGTCTGTAGAAAGGAGCAATTGCTGCCTAACTTGTTTTATCTTCTTTTATTAAATTCTTTGACCTTTTTCTCTCTTTTTTAAAAAATAATTTTATTGAGAAACAAACAGTAATGAGTCAGTTTCAAAACCAATTAGTAAGACAGTTTCAATAATTAATACATTGCCTATTGTTATCTTCTCAGTAGTTATTCATAGTACAAGATGCTGACATGATATCCTGTCCAAACACTAGTAGCACAAATCTTTCTTCCCACTGAATTAAGAGAAAGTAGCTGTATATCTATCCTATTTTGTATATACAGATACAAAATGATCATTCATTTGTATATCCTTTTTTGTTTAGTTTTGTCAGAAAAAGGTATTCTGTTGTCATTTAAATATTGTAGGTGCGTGAATTCAGCAAAATATTCCAATATAGTGTCCAATCTGGAAAATTCCAAATTTCCAGTAGTCTGTAATAGGACTGGCAATGTCAGAAGCTGTTGACCTGAACCCTTTACAGCCCAGCATACCAACATGGTTTCACCCCTTATACCTCGTTTTTTCACCTTTCTGCTGAATGGTTAAGACCAAGATAAAGCAAGATCTATGTAACAAGAAATGTAACTTGTATCTGATAAGGTCAGTGAAGTCACCTCAGGATTTATTCTGAAACCCTGTACCACACTTTGTGGATCCTTTGTCAGTGTCAGCCGTGTGGATGAGTCACGGCCACTGTTCGACCAATTTGCTCTCTGTGAAAGCCTGAATGTTTTCTCTCCATGTGACTCTCCTTAGGCACACTCTACATCATCGATCACTTTCCTCTGTGGCCTCACAATCTCCATGATCAGAAAATTTGGGACCTAACTGAGTTACATGATGTTACAGTATAGGCTCTTCTATGTCCTGAGTCTTCACTGACCTTGAAAGGCTACGGCCAAAATGTTGACTGTCCTTGCAGCTCTTCTTTTTCTCTAACTTTTGGTCTGCAAACTTAGGTTGTTAACCCTCCAGAAGAGTTGGGTTTAACCTAACTATCTGTCTGAATATCAAACATCTTAGGCATAACATGGAACAGGTATTTTTCATCAAGTACTGATATGTTAAACTTTAAGTCCCTATAGAATATGAAGAAAAAAATTTAAAAAATAAAAAATTTAAAAAATATGAATAAACAATTACATATTTTTACACAGAAATTTAGAAATCTAACCATATACAGCATGATAGCAGGATAGTCCTGTGACCATTTTTTTCTTGTCTCTTTTTTTCATTTATTACCTTTTTTAAAAACAAACATTTACTTGAAAGACAATATTGACCTTTTTCTCTTAATTTCTTATATATTTCTTTTTTTTCTTCCAATTTTGCATGTATACATCTGGTAATATGAACAACTAATTTGAAGACAACACTACACAATACAATAAATACTATGACATTGTATTATTTTGTTTAGTGAAATTTTATGCCATTTGTAATTTTTATGTTTTAATACTATTTTGTAATCTCTTTAAAAAATTAAAAATTAAAAAAAAGACTGCCTGCTCTACCTTTCCTCCAACCTTTAACAAATCCAGTGGACTATGCATTCCAATAAGATTACTGGGGGAAATCACACAAGGCTAACAAATTCTTCAGCAATAAAAATCCATCAACCCCTAATTTTAAAACTGATTACTAAAATGAAAGAGTCAATACTCTGGCAAGTTTCAAAAGGCTATAATACACATTAGAGTCATCCTCCAATCATCCCATTATGGTTGGTTTGAACTGCACACTCACAGAAATTTAAATATGCTTGCTAAGGAAGCTGACAATTTAGCCAAGTATTTAATAAACGTATCTCATTACCTTTCTTTGAAGACTTGAAGTCCTCGAACCAATCCTTCTAGACACAGGAGGTCATATCTATTGGCAGGAACATCAATTTTGTAAAGAACAACATTTGAAGCCCCCTCTGCCTTTATGTTACCTTGTTCCTTACTTATTATCTCCTTCTCAGAAGTCTACAACAAACCAAAATGAAAAAATTAGTAACAACTTTTCATAAAACTACATCAAATACTTTTGAGCAAGAAATCATAGAAATATTAAATATTAGAGCAGACAGAAAAAAACTCTTACTCGCTTCATACATCTAGCGTCCTTAGCCATTTCAGAAGAGCACAAATCTGCCTAAGGAAAAGGTCAGTAAACACCTGCTCACTGGTCACAGCATGGCCAATAGCTTTTTTGGCAAGTAAAACGACTGAAATAGACAGATCCACTCATTTATGTGTTACCTACTGCCACACACTGCAACTACTAAGTTATAACAAAGACAACAGAAATTATGAAGCCTAAATTATTATGATTGGGCCCTGCCCATCTCCATCTAAAAGAAAGTGAAGACACCATCAAGAACACAGTTCTGAGGCTGTCAGTCGCTTTCTGCGCGGCAACCGCTGTGCCAGGTTGCCGCCTATGTCAGTGGCTTTCTGAAGCTGTTCAGCTGGTTTTTGCTGAGGCCAGGATTTAGATCTATAGGTCAGTGTTTCCTTTCCTTGTATTTTACTGTTTTTTTCTATTTCTCTGCACTTTAAATTATTATCACCAGTCAATTTTCCTATAATGGTATGTTTTAATAATTTAAAAACACATACATTTTTTAAGAAATACGATGTAACCATTATTAACTAATTCTAGGATACTGGTTCTAACAGCTTAATCCTATGGGTGCCCAAGCCTAGCAAGAACATGAGACTGTGAGTAATACTATAAAAGCAAACAAGGACATTATCAGAGCTGTGGTGACAATCAGAAGGGCTAACAGGTAACACAGGAATAATCTAGTATGGTAATAAAGGCAGCAAAATGAAGGCAACCCAGAGAGAAAACCACTACCAAGACAGCAATCTTTAAAAGCAATGGCAGAGCTCAGAGCACCTTCATCACCACATTACAGCACAGAGTAACAGTTTCTTTAATGATGACCACTGCCAGTAACTTATATTCTATTCCAAAAATTTACTACAGCTTGAAACTGTAAATACATATAAGAAAATTTCAGTCAAAATGTTTAAAAGTTGTAGTCCAACTGTTGTAGTTACCCTTAGTTTGGAAATGCCATTTAGTCAGAATTCTTACTATTTCCACCACCAATAACCTGCTGAAGTAAAACATTTCTATCTCTACATGTAATGATTTTTGTTTTACACAAGGTCCTCCCATTGCTACAACCTAAGAAATGCAAGCCACTGCCCACACTGAGAATTGCAATCTGAATGTGCACTTGTGTAACTAAGTACCACATGGCCAAGTCACCCCTGAGGAACCAGAGATCAAGACAGTGCTGGGCCTGCACACGGCTGTGCTGCTCCTGACAACACTGTGTCTACCTCGGCACCCCAAGGTAGGGGCAAAGTTTTCGAAGTAGAAAAAATAAAAAAGAGCAGGAAGGAAAGGAGGAAAATAAAAATTAGGGAAAGGAAAAGGGGGAGAAATGAAGAGGGATGGGGAGAGAAAAGGAAGAAGAGAAAGAATTAGAATTTAAATACTGTTCCAGGAAAGCTGTAATAAAATTAATGTTTTAATTTTTATTTATTTATTCATTTATTTATTTATTATATTAGAGAAGGGTCGGTCTACAAGGTGTTCAGGGTCTCAATACTAGACTGGACTTGTAGTGATCTGCCTGTATAGCCTCCCAAGAGCTGGGATTACAGGCACGCACCACCAAGCCCAGTCTCTATTGCCATCTCAGCATGCCCGTGGCCAGCACAACAGGCCCTAGTCGTCCCCCACCCCCCGCAACTGCTTGCAGGTGCTTTAATCTGCTGAGCTATTTGGCCAGCCCTAAAATTACTGTCTTTAGTGAACCAAGCTGAATCAACTTACAGGGATGGTGGATTTCAGGACAGATTTACACAAACAAGAGGAGATAATATGGAAACCAGAGAAATGAAGGTATCCAAATGCAACAGCCTAATTTGTTTACAAAGACAAAAACCACACACAGTAGCTTAAATTTGTCATTTTTCTACATCTTGATTGATTAAAAAATAAGTATGCGTAAGGGCTGGCCAAATAGCTCAGAGGACTAACATGCCTGCTTAGGCACAGTGCAGCGGCTGGGGTTCGATACCCATGTGCCTATAAAACCAGCTCTTGGGAGGCTGAACACAGGCAGATCATGAGTTTGATCCAGAAGTGAGACCCTGTAGACCCTGTAGACTCTTACTAAATACAAAAGAAAAAAAGTATGGGAAGACTGATTTTGCTACCTGACAAAATCTTATAGAAATCAAAGACCACTCAAATTTCAGAGCCATAGGAATCTACAAATATTATATAATCCAACCCTTTTATTTTACAAATGAAAAGGAGGCCCAAAGTTTCTAAATATGAGACCAAAGAAGCAAAGTAATTTTCCTCAGAGCACAGAAATTATCATGGTCTGAAAATGATTCATCCTTGTCTAATCAAAATAGAGTAAGTCCCTGAAAAGTTAATACACAGAGCATTTGAAAAATAAGTAAATATCTAATACATACAATTTCATCAAGTTCCAGGCCAAATTCAAAACATAGTTCATCAAATTCTTCATCAGCTAGGGGAGGGGAAAAAAAATCTGTTAATTATAATTTTATCAGCAAAAACGAATATTGTACATAAATACTATTTTCTTATTATAACCTTACATGAACCATACTAAATTTCAGGCATCAGACATCATCATTTAAAAAAAAACAAAAGTCTTGCCAAAAAAAATTTACTAAGAGAAACCGAACTATTAATGGGACGATTATCCTAATTATCAACAATAGGATTGAGTTATCAGTGTTGAGAAATTTGCACAGGCTTGAGGGAAACAAAAACAAAACCCTGTTAGGTAGAGATCAAATAGAAAGCATGCTCCAATTCACAAGTCCTACACAAAGGAACGTCTCATAAATCTTATCACTGAGAATTCTGTGGGGCAACCTAACACTCGGCTTTGGAACCACATGACGAGGGCTCCTGCTTACTGGTTCTGAGAGTGGCACCTTATGCGAGCTCTACCTTGAAACAGCCCCTACTGCCTCATCTGTACAGCAGCCTTTTATGTTTTCATCAAAGGAAAGCTTTCAGTGAAATCAGGCAGTTATGGCTCTCGCACTGCCCCTGAAGGAGTGGGTCTGTAATTAATCGTTCTCTTCCTTATCCCACTTTGCTGTGCTACTTCATACAGCACTTTCAGGCTTTTCATTTTATCCAAAATTGAACACAAACCATCATGATCAGTATATTCTTATGAAAAGCCGTCTTAAGATTCGTGACCCAGTGCCGGGGATGAGCTCTGTGGCAGAGCACATGCTTAGTGTGCATGTGGCACGGAATTCAATTCCCTGCACCCAAACACAACCAACTAAATAAACAAACGACATATCCAAAATACACACACAAAATTTTCTGACCCACACAAAACTTCAACACTCAGGAAATGCAGATACTGTACTAGATGCCTGGGATATAAAGATGAGTAAGATACAATTCCTGCCTAAACTACTTCCTCTTCTAACCAAGAAGCCAGAGGTGTAAATCAGTATTATCTTAAGTGCAAGGTACAGGAGTGGCACAAAGCTCCCTTTAGGGTCATTTCTGAAAAATTAATAACTGAAACTTTTGCTTAACTGAATGAAACTTTCTCAATTACTTGCTCTCTCAGACCTGTCACCTGGGACTAAACAAAGTATCACTTTGTAAGTAATACTATGGAAAAGCTAAGATGAAAGGACTTGAAGCCTCTGGTCAAAAATCAGAAAGAATAAGTAAAAGGAAAGCAGGATCTGGAGGACTAACTAATCAAGTGAGGGAAAGTAGAAGAGCTAGGAAACATGACAATGTCAAGCCATACAGTTATACGTAGAAGATGGGCAAGGCAATGATCCTGAGAATCTCCAGAAGATTTTT